CCGGTCCCCCCCCCCCCCATAGCTAGCAATCCAAAACAGTCCAGTGGAGCGTTGATGTCAGGGGGGATGGCACATGCAAATAAGTTATGCTAATTTTATTTTATTTTTTTATTTATTATTAAATTTATACCCCGCCCTTCCCCGTGGGGAATAAGTTATGCTAATGAGCTCCTGCACCTCTTTTTCTATAAATTACCCTTGAGCACCATTTTTATTGAGGGGGGGGTTGTATATGCTTAGCACAGCTTGGGCGCTCACAAGAAGGAGCTGTCTGTTTTGGAGACTGTGTTTGATCAACCGTTTATTTATTTATTTATCTATTTATTTATCAGATTTATACCCTGCCTTCCCCGCAAAGCAGGCTCAGGGCAGCTTCCATACAAACATAAATATAGTTAAAATCTTACAGTCATTTAAAACACAACAGATAAAATACAAACACAAGGTGCTGGCAACAGTTAAAACTTAACTTAGATGGCTCATTTTCAAGATGAACTACCGCTTCCCAGATATTCTCAGATATTCCTTCTGCCCAGAATTTCTTATGGCATCGGCTCGATGTTAAAGCCAGGGCTCTATGACAGCGGTGGCCCGTAATTAAATGCCTGGCGGAAGAGCTCCGTCTTGCAGGCCCTGCGGAACTGCGAAAGGTCCCGCAGGGCCCTGGTCTCCTCCGGGAGCTCGTTCCACCAGGCAGGGGCCGCCACTGAAAAGGCCCCGGCCCTGGTGGTAGCTAGCCTGGCCTCCCTCAGGCCAGGTAGGGTTAACCGATTTTGAGACCCAGACCGTAGTGCTCTCTGGGGTATGTACGGGGAAAGGCGGTCCCGTAGGTACGTCGGACCCCGGCCATATAGGGCTGTAAGAACCAGCACCTTGAAGCGGATTCGGTATGCAGTTGTAGGAACGTTTATTTGGCTGCGTTCCTCAGCTGCAGCTGGAGCGAAGGATTCTTGCAAATCGGGAATGAGCACTGTGTGCGCGAGAGGTTTTATGACATTTCTCCTTTTGGGGTAGATATCCTCCTTCCTGAGTGGCCGCCTCAGTGGTCCAGGCTAGCTTAGTCTCATCGGATCTTGGAAGCTAAACAGCGTTGGCCCTGGTTAAACCTTGCATGTGGGATCCCCGAGGAAGCCCAGGGTTGCTACGCAGAGGCAGGCAATGGAAAAACCACCTCTGGGTATCTTTTTGCTCTGACCTGGATGGCCCAGGCTACCCCGATCTCGTCAGAGCTGGGAAGCGAAGCAGGGTCGTCCCTGGTTCATACTTGGATATGAGACCCCCCGAGGAAGCCCAGGGTTGCTATGCAGAGGCAGGCAATGGAAAAACCACCTCTGGGTGTCTTTTTGCCCTGACCCGGATGACCCAGGTTAGCCTGATCTCGTCAGAGCTGGGAAGCGAAGCAGGGTCGTCCCTGGTTCATACTTGGATGTGAGACCCCCCGAGGAAGCCCAGGGTTGCTATGCAGAGACAGGCAATGGAAAAACCACCTCTGGGTGTCTTTTTGCCCTGACCTGGATGGCCCAGGCTAGCCCAATCTCATCAGAGCTGGGAAGCAAAGCAGGGTCGTCCCTGGTTCATACTTGGATATGAGACCCCCCGAGGAAGCCCAGGGTTGCTACGCAGAGGCAGGCAATGGAAAAACCACCTCTGGGTGTCTTTTTGCCCTGACCCGGATGACCCAGGTTAGCCTGATCTCGTCAGAGCTGGGAAGCGAAGCAGGGTCGTCCCTGGTTCATGCCTGGCTGGGAAACACCCCCCCCCCCGAATGTCCAGGGTTGCTACGCAGAGGCAGGCAATGGCAAACCCCCTCTGAGTGCCAATTTGGTGTCGTGGTTAGGAGCACAAACTCTAATCTGGGAGAACCCGGTTTCATTCCCCCTTCCCTTCACATAAAGCCAGCTGGGTGACCTTGGGTCAGTCACAAGTTCTCCCAGAGCTGTTCTGAAAAGAGCAGCCCTCGAGAGAGCTCTCTCAGCCCTGCCTACCTCTGAGGGTGTCTGTCGTGGAGAGGGGAAGGGAAAGGAGAGTGTGAGCCGCTCTGAGACGCCTTCAGATAGTGAAGGGTGGGGTACAAATCCAATCTCTTCTTTTCTGCCTGCCTCTTGCCTTGAGAGCCCCATGATTCGCCGTAAGTTGCCTGCGACTCGGTGTCCTTTCCCACCACTGCCACGTTAGCCCCGCCTTGTCTGCGTTCCTCTTCCCAGCAGCTCTCCTGCCCGCCCCGTCCCCCTTCCCGAGCCATCCGCGGGAGAACCTGCGGGAGAAGAACTGCGTGCCGTCAACTTGAGTCTCGACAGGCTGTCAACGCTGGGTCGGACCCACTTAGCCCGAGTGGTCATCGAGAGCTTGAAGGCCCCGCTGGAAGGCAGCTCGCAGAACAACACCCCCGGCAAAAAGAGCTCCGTGGGGAAGCCCCCCAAGCCAGCGTCGGCTCCAAAAAGGTACGTGCCCGTCCGGGGTTTGGCGACAGTGTTGGCGATCGCCTGCCTAATCTGTAATTAATTAAGATGGGCAGCCGCGTTGGTCTGTCCGTAGCAGTAGAAAAGAGCCAGAGTCCCGGAGCACCTGCGAGACTCACAAAATCTGTGGCAGGGGAGGAGCTTTTGTGAGTCATGGCTCGCTTCCTCAGATACAGCTAGAATGGGAGTCCCTCCGTCCTTCTACCACAAGGTTGATGGATTCCCATTCCATACAGCTAAATGTGGTGCCTTCCAGGGAGACAGATCCAGATGGGTAGCCGTGTAAGTCTCTCTGTAGCAGGAGAAAAGAGCCAGAGTCCAGGAGCACCTTCAAGACTAACAACATTTGTGGCAGGATAGGAGCTTTCGCAAGTCCCTGCTCACTTCTTCAGATACAGCTAGAATGGGAGTCTATCTGTCCTTTTACCACAAGGCTGATGGATTCCCATTCTGTAGGGCTAAATGTGGCACCTTCCATGGAGACAGATCAAGGTGGGTTGCCATGTTAGTCTGTATGTGGCAGTAGAAAAGAGTCCAGGAGCACCTTCAGGACTAAGAACATTTGTGGCAGGGGAGGAGCTTTCATGAGGCACTGCTCCCTTCTTCGGATACAGCTAGAATGTGACTCCATCTGTCATATCACAAGGTTGATGCATTTCCATTCTGTACAGCTAAATGTGGTGCCTTCCATGGAGATAGATCAAGATGGGTAGCTGTGTTCATTTGTCTGTAGCAGTAGAAAAGAGGCAGGAGTCCAGGAGCACCTTCAAGATTCACAAAATCTGTGGCAGGGGAGGAGCTTTTGTGAGTCACTGCTCACTTCTTCAGATACAGCTAGAATGTGAGACCATCTGTCCTTATATCTTGGAGAGTGGAGTGGTTTCAGATATCAAGTGACAAATATAGGTGAATAACAATAGCAGGTGTGATTGCATCAGGTGTGATATGCAGAGGCGTCATAGGCCTGGAGAAATCAGCATTGGTAATAGACAGGAAACCGAGGTCTCGATTCAGTCCAGGTGGATGCATTGCGCTTCATTATCAGTTGCGATTCAGCAGTCTCTCTTTCTAATCGCCCTTTGAAATTCCTTTGTAAGAGAACTGCTACTCTTAAGCCAGCGACTGAATACCCTAAAAGGTTATAATGTTCCCCTGCTGGTTTTTGAATGCTGTGGTTTCTAATGTCAGACAGCATAAATCACGTGGCAGCAGTGCCCTTCCGCCCTCTGCATTGGGCAAATAGGCCAGTCCCTACAACAAAGATTAAATGGACGTCAGTCTGACATTAGAAACCACAACATTCAAAAGCCAGTGGATGAACAGGGACCAGGGACCATCCATAAATGCTGAGATGGAAATCGGAGAGGACTGGGGGAATCATGCCACGAGAGGCGGTCCCAAAGGTACGAGGGTCCCAGGCTGTTTAGGATAAAAACGTAAGAACATCAGAGAAACCACTGTTGGATCAGGCCAATGGCCCATCTAGTCCAACACTCTGTCTGTCACACACGGGCCAAAAATACCAAGTGCCATCAGGAGGTCCAGCAGTGGGGCCAGGACACTAGGAGCCCTCCCACTGTTGCCCCCCCCCAAACGCCAAGAATACAGAGCATCCCTTGCCCCAGACCGAGAGTTCATATAAGAACATAAGAGAAGCCAATGTTGGATCAGGCCAATGGCCCATTCAGTCCAACACTCTGTGTCACACAGTGGCCAAAAACACTAGGTGCCATCAGGAGGTCCAGCAGTGAGGCCAGGACACCAGAAGCCCTCCCACTGTTGCCCCCCCCCCAAGTACCAAGAATACAGAGCATCCCTTGCCCCAGAGTCCCTATCTATCCCTTGTGGCTAATAGCCACTGATGGACCTCTGCTCCATATAAGAACACAAGAGAAGCCAGTGTTGGATCAGGCCAAAGGCCCATCCAGCCCAACACTCTGTGTCACACAGTGGCCAAAAACACCAGGTGCCATCAGGAGGTCCAGCAGTGGGGCCAGGACACCAGAAGCCCTCCCACTGTTGCCCCCCCCCAAGCACCAAGAATACAGAGCATCACTTGCCCCAGACTGAGAGTTCCTCTCTATACCTTGTGGCTGATAGCCACTGATGGACCTCTGCTCCAGATGTTTATCCAATTCCCTCTTGAAGCCGTCCATGCTTGTAGCCGCCGCCACCTCCTGTGGCAGTGAATCCCATGTGTGGATCACTCTTTGGGTGAAGAAGGACTTCCTTTTATCCCTTCTAACCCGACTGCTCAGCAATTTCATGGAGTGCCCACGAGTTCCTGCATTGTGAGAAAGGGAGAAAAGGACTTCTTTCTCGACCTGCTCTTTCCCATGCACAATCTTATAAACCCTTGATCATGTCACCCCTCAGTTCTCGTTTCTCCAAGCTAAAGAGCCCCAAGCGCTTTAACCTTTCCTCATAGGGAAAGCGTTCCAACCCTTTTATCATTCTCGTTGCCCTTTTCTGCACTTTTTCCAGTGCTATGATATCCTTTCTCAGGTGTGGCGACCAGAATTACATACAGTACTCCAAATGAGGCCGCACCATCGATTTATACAGGGGCACTACGACACTGGCTGATTTGTTTTCAGTTGCCTTCCTAATAATCCCCAGCATAGCATTGGCCTTTTTTATTGCAGTCGCCTAAAAGCCGTATTTCTCACTGATGCAAGAGTGTCAGCAGGAAGTATCTTAGGCCGTGGGGAAGTACTGCTGTAAGGGGAACAAATCCACAGGATCCTACCCAAGACCTTGAGGACGGTCACTAAACCGCTCTGTCTCCTTTCTCTATTCTGCTCCTAGGACGTTCTTTGTCGAGTACCACTTTCCAGTGAAAGCTACGAAGAGTGGAACAGGGCAGGTGGCTGTAACCACAGAGATCATTCGGGTGGCTTCGAGTAAAATCTCGAACGAAGGTGAGGTGCCGGGGGGGGGGGGGGGGGTAATAATAAGTCCGGAAAAATCAGTCCGGAATACTTTAAATGTCTTATTAATTATCGCTTTAAACATCTTAAAGCATCTGCATCACGTTACATGTTAAGTTGCTGTTCAGCCTGTATCTGTAAGTTTGAAATCTAGCTTCCTTTCCAATGTATTTGACAAAGTGTGCCATGCACACGAAATCTCATGCCTTGAATAAGCCTTTGATCTTCGTCGTGGTCATCTGTGCATTCACACCCATGGGATCTAATCTACCCCAGCTCCCAGTCGTTCCGCCCCAGATCACAGTCGTTCCAAAACTTCCTGATCCTAGACCGACTATACCACGTCAGCCAAGACCGGTGGTACACCAGCAGGGCACCACTGTCCACCCTGGTTTAGGATCAGGAAGTTTTAGAACGACTGTGATCTGGGGTGGAACGACTGGGAGCTGGGGTAGATTAGATCCCATGGGTGTGAATGCACAGATGACCACTCGAAGATCACCAGTTACTGGTAAGCAACCTGTTTTTCGCCTTAAAGGTGCCACTTGGACTCTAAATTTGTTCTACTGTTTTTTTAATGGTTTTGTATTTTAATTTTTATTTATCTGTTGTTTTTGTGATCCGTTTTGACTCTCATCAAGAGAGGGGGGGCCACGAATGAGTCAAAGAAACCCGCCTCTCGTCCCTTCTCATTGCAGTGGTGAAATTTCAGCAGCGGTACGTGTTCCCTGTTCACTTCAGCGGAACGATGATCACCCACTGGTGGAGTTCGGACCTCGCGTTTAATATCTACTCGAAAAAGGGCGCCCAAAGGAAGGTACTTATTATTTATTTAGGCTGATCGACTGACGCCACACCATCGGATCGCCTGGCACTTGACAAAGCATCGAAGCAAAAACAGAGAGGTCTCTACCTCGCAAAGGGATGGTAATGACTAAAGGGAGCCTCCACATGACTAAAGGGAGTCTCCACATCCAGAGGCAGTCTGCCTGTGAACCCCAGTGCCTGGAGGCAGCATCAGGGAAAGGCCTCGGCCTCTCCGCCTTGTTGTTGACCCTCCAGAGGAACTGGTTGGCCCCTGTGTGAGACAAGGATGCTGTAGATGGACCATGGGTCTGATCCAGCAGGGCTCTTCATGCTGGACTTGATGGACTATTGATCTGATCCAGGAGCGCTCTTCTGATGCTCTTATCAGGGGAAGGCCTCGGCCTCTCTGCCCTGTGGTTGGCCCTCCAGAGGAACTGGCTGTACCCTGTGTGAGATGGGAGGCTGGACTGGATGGACCCTCACTGGTCTGACCCAGGTTATTATCAGGGGAAGGCCTTGGCCTCTCTGCCCTGTTTTTGGCCCTCCAGAGGAACTGGCTGGCCCCTGTGTGAGGCGGGAGGCTGGACTGGAGGGATCCTCCCTGGTCTGATCCAGCGGGGCTCTTCTGAGGTTCTTATTAGGGGAAGACCTCGGCCTCTCTGCCCTGTTGTTGGCCCTCCAGAGGAACTGGCTTGCCCCTGTGTGAGGCAGGATGCTGGACTAGAAGGGCCACTGGGCTGACCCAGCAGGGCTTAACCCCTTTTTTCTCCAAAGTTCTGGAGGAATAACAGCAGTTAAAATTCAGAGCGAGGTTTGACTTCTCCCAACACATCTGTGGGGTAGAGAGGATGGTCCTGGCCCCACTGCTGGACCTCCTGATGGCCCCTGGTATTTTTGGCCACTGTGTGACAAGAGTGTTGGACTAGATGGGCCATTGGCTTGATCCAACATTGGCTTCTCGTATGTTCTTATGTGGTGAGCTCCAATGTTCCCTCTAAGCTGAGTTAGTGTGAGCTAGCTCACAGTTTTTTAGCCTTCAGCTCACATTATTTTGTCTTAGCTCAGAAACGATGGCTCCAGAACAAACTAATTTATGCAGTAGCCAAATAGCTTGCTCAGAAATGTAATGCCAGCAGCTCATAAAGTAGAATTTTTGCTCAGAAGACTCCACAGCTTAGAGGGAACATTGGTGAGCTCCCCCTCCCTGGCAGTCTTTCAGCAGCGGCTGGACAAACACTGGCCAGGGATGCTCTAGGCTGATCCTGCATTGAGCAGGGGGTTGGACTAGATGGCCTCTATGGCCGCCTTCCAACTCTGATTCTGTGATTCTCTGACTCAGTTTGGCAGCTCGGTTTCCTGAGCAGCTGGAATGTTTGTCAGCATTTGATCGCTCTTCCCTCTTCCCCCACCATCTCCTTGTTTTCAGCCGTTGCTGATTGGCTCCGCAGCTGTTCCTCTGCGAGACGTAATTCAGTCCGAGCAGCTGACCATCCGTCGTGACTTGCCTGTGGAAGAGGAAGGTGGTTCGGCTCCGCTGGGACCTTTAAAGGTATGTAAATGGCTTCTGTTGTGTTCCGAATTAAAATACTTTTTCTCACGGCTCTTTTTGTAGTAAAAGCCCAGCAGGAACTCATTAGCATAATAGGCCACACCCAACAGCAGAAACTCATTAGCATATTAGGCCACATCACTGACATCACAGCTCATTGGCATATTAGGCCACACTCCCTTGTTAGCAGAGGTGTGCTCATCCAGCCACACCCACCTTTTGCTTCTTATTCTGTTTACCTTGTTTGTTGTCCAAACTCAGGGCTTTTTTTGTAGCAGGGACTCCTTTACATGTTAGGCCACACACCCCTAATGTAGCCAATCCTGATGATGTTGGGCGTGGCCTATTATGCTAATGAGGTCCTGCTGGGCGTGGCCAACTTGGGAGCCAGCCGGAACTCCGTTCCTGTGCATTCCTGCCCAAAAATAGCCCTGCTTTTTCTTTCCGGAATGCTTAGAAGTCATATTGTTTCCTTTTCAAAAGCCGAAGCATTAGGTCACGAGGACATCTGACTAGGACCGGTCCAAAGTATGTTGCTGGGCCAAGCAAGGAACATACTACGCCTTCTCTCATGCTACAGTGGTAGAGCTCAGGGGCAGAGCCTCTGCTTGGCATGCAGAAGGTCCCAGGTTCAATCCCCAGCATCTCCAGTTAAAAGGATCAGGCAGTACCGTGTTTCCCCGAAAATAAGACACTGTCTTATATTTATTTTTTTCTCAAGAAGACAAACTAGGGCTTATGCCACAAATGCATAGAAATCCTGCTAGGGCTTATTTTTGGGGTAGGGCTTATTTTCGGGGAAACAGGGTAGGTGATGGGAAAGATCTCAGGGGCTCCATGGTAGACCTTCTGCTTGGCATGCAGAATGTCTCAGGTTCAGTCTCTGGCATCTCCAGTTGAAAAGGACCGGGTGGTAGGTGGTGTGAAAGACCTCTGCCTGAGACCCTGGAGGACTATGGGGGAGGGGCTGTGGCTCAGTGGAAGAGCCTCTGCGTGGCATGCAGAAGGTCCCAGGTTCAATCCCTGGCATCTCCAGTTGAAAGGACCAGGCAGGAGGTGATGGGAAAGAGCTCCGCCTGAGACCCTGGGGAGCCAGAGACAGGGGCTGTGGCAGAGCATCTGCTTGGCACTCAGAAGGTCCCAGGTTCAATCCCCGGCATCTCCAGCTAAAAGGACCAGACAGTAGGTGATGGGAAAGACCTCCGCCTGAGACCCTGGAGAGACAGAGACAGGGGCTCGTGGCTCAGTGGAAGAGCCTCTGCTTGGCATGCTAAAGGTCCCAGGTTCAATCCCCGACATCTCCAGTTACAAGGACTAGGCAGTAGGTGATAGGAAAGACCTCCGCCTGAGACCCTGGAGAGGCAGAGACAGGGGCTGTGGCTCGGTGGCAGAGCCTCTGCTTGGCATGCAGAAGGTTCCAGGTTCAATCCCCAGCATCTCCAGTTGAAAGGACCAGGCAGTAGGTGATGTGAAAGACTTCAGCCTGAGACCCTGGAGAGCTGCAGCCAGACTGAGTTGACAATACTGACTTTGATGGACCTGATTCAGTATAAGGCAGTTTTGTGTGTGTGTGTGTGTTCTTCCTTCCTGGCTCAGGTATCACTGGAGCTCGCCGCCGACAACAAAGACTTCTCCAGCGCCAGTGCCAGGCCAGCAACCGTGACATCGCAAGACCCGGTTTACTCCGTCACAAGCCCCGGGGTGAAGCTGCAGGCCGCCCCCGAGGACGTCACGCCTGTCAAAAGCCCCCACCTCTCGAAGCCCGGCAGTGTCCAGTTCCGCACGAAGATCCACGAGGCTCTGCCCACGGCCCCACAAAAACTCAGCGTGGGTGCGAACCAGCCGCCGCCGCCCAGACCCGTGTCCCGTAGCCTGCTGACCCAGATGGGCCCGTCGGAAGAGGAGGGTTTGCTGCTCCACGTCCTCTTGATGGTGCCGGAAGGGAAGGACTTCGTTCCGGGAGACGCCGGGCTCCACGGCTCTTGCAACGTGTATTTGAACTGCAAGCTCTTCAGCACGGAGGAAGCGACGAGGTCAGCCGTCATGTGGGGGACGAGGCAGCCGACCTTCCATTTCTCTCAGGCAAGCGAGCAAGCTCTGTCTTCTCTTTCAGATGCTGTCCGGTCCCGTGACTACACGGAGCTGGAACGGGAATGTACACGAAGTCAGGGGTCCCCAACCTTTTTGAGCCTGTGTGTGCCTTTGGAATTCTGGTGCAGCCACAAAACAGCCACCAAAGAATGGCTCCTCTAGGAGGTGGAGCCAGCCACAGCACGGCTGCCACAGCTGACCTTCAGACGTACCGTGGCAATCAGCGTTCCCTCTAAGCTGAGTTATTGTGAGCTAGCTGACAGTTCTTTAGCCTCCGGCTCACACTTTTTTAAAAATAGATTTTTGTTAATTTTCTACCAAGAAAGAAATAGACATAACAGTATACAAGACACACTAACGCACTAATGTCCTCATTATAACTAGTTTTCTTTTACGTAGATAATATCTTTCTTATATGCACCTAAGCATGTTTAATAGTCTATATGCCAGAAAGTATTTTGAGAAACGTGATACACAGTTATAGTGTGCACCTTTGCAGATGCACCTCAACCCATTTATAAAGTCTTGACCATGTTTTTTCAAAAATTTCTTCTTTTTTGTCTCGTAATTGTAAAGTTAACTTGTCCATCTCTGCCGTTTCTAATAGTTTATATATTATTTCTTCTTTTCATGGGACTTTTTCTTTCCTCCAGTATTTTGCATAGAGAATCCTAGCTGTAGTTATCATATGTATGATCGCACATTTATTTTCGTCTTAGCTCAGGAAGGACGGCTCCAGAGCAATGTTGGGGTTTTTTAAAATAAATTTTATTGATTTTAATAATACAATATAAAGCTCCAGAGCAATGTTCCCTCTAAGCTGACTCAGTGTGAGCTAGCTGACAGTTTTTTTAGCCTCCAGCTCACACATTTTTGCCTTAGCTCAGGAAGGCTGGCTCCAGAGCAAACTAATTCATGCAGTGTCCAAATCGCTCGCTCACAACTTTCATGCCAGCAGCTCACAAAGTAGAATTGTTGCTCACAAGACTCCGCAGCTTGGAGGGAGCGTTGGTGACGATCCTTGTGTTGTGGCAGCCGCCGCCAAAGCAATGTTTCTTTAAAAAATCTGCACAGCCAATCAAATCTCCAATGGCCTATAGCCCCACCTGGCCCCACCCACTTTCTAAAAACACTCGGCGGGCCCAAGGAAAGGTGATGGCTGGTACTTTGGTGCCCCCAGGCATCACGTTGGGGACCCCTGCGTGAAGTGGTTTGGTTTGTATCATAAAATTGTTTCTCTGCTCAAGCCACGTAGAGAGCTGTGAAGTTGCTCTTAGCTCCCCTCAGAATTATCCAAGCAGCAGATGAAAAAGCAATAGTAATGTCACAAGGCTAGGGCTGATTTGCATCCAATTAAGTACAGTGTACACACTGGAAACGTTGCATGCTGAAATCCAGTGTGATCAAAGGGTTAAGCGGCTTTAATCTGGGGAACGTCTGTTGAAATCTTGACTCCCCTCTGGGCTTGCCAGGTACACTTGGGAAATTAACTTCCTTGGCTTCAGTTCTGGAAAACATTCTTCCCAGGTTATATAAAGCAAGATAGACTAGTCATTCTTGACGTTAGAGAGCTTTAAAATCCATTAGCCAGTGGTCCATCTAGTCCAGCATCCAGTCCCAAAAAGTGGCCGACCAGTTCCTCTGGAGGTTCAACAACAGGGCAGAGAGGCCTCGACCTTCCCCTGATAAGAACCTCAGAAGAACCCTTCTGGATCAGACCAGTGAGGGTCCATCTAGTCCAGCCTCCTGCCTCACACAGTGGCCAACCAGTTCCTCTGGAGGTCCAGCAACAGGGCAGAGTGGCCGAGGCCTTCCCCTGATAAGAACCTAAGACGAGCCCTGCTGGATCAGACCAGTGAGGGTCCATCTAATCCAGCATCCCATCTTACACAGGGGCCAGTCAGTTCTTCCGGAGGGCCAACAACAGGGCAGAGAGGCCGAGGCCTTCCCCTGATAAGAACCTCAGAAGAGCCCTGCTGGGTCAGACCAGGGAGGGTCCATCCAGTCCAGCCTCCTGTCTCACACAGTGGCCAACCAGTTCCTCTGGAGGGCCAACAACAGGGCAGAGAGGCCGAGGCCTTCCCCTGATAAGAACCTCAGAGGAGCCCTGCTTGGATCAGACCAGTGAGGGTCCATCTAGTCCAACATCCTGCCTCACACAGTGGCCAACCAGTACTCTGGATGGCCAACAACAGGGCAAAGAGGCTGAGGCCTTCCCTGATCCCCGATGTTGCCTCCTGGCTCAGGTTCAGGGAAGTTGACTGCCTCTGAATGTGGAGGTTCCCCACAGTCACCATGGCTAGCAGCCAGTGATATTTTCTTCCATGAATCTACGTAATCCCCTTTTAAAGCTGCCCATGGGCATCACTACATCTTCTGGCAGCAAGTTTAAATCACCACGTAAAGCAGAATTCCCTTTTGTCCGTCCCGAAACTGACTGAAGAGGGAAATCACCTTTTTTCTAGTACAGCTAGATTCAAGTCCAGTAGCACCTTAGAGCTTCCGATTGTCACAGCTCCTTTCATCTGGCGAAGAGTCCTTTGATTCTCGAAAGCTACCCTGAAACTCTTGCTGGTCTCTGAGGCACTACTGGATTCAAATCTAGCTCTTCCGCTGAAAAAACAAATAGTATAAAGGAAATACATAAAGGGAAAAAAGGGTTACCTAACATCTATATATCTAATTCCCAACATGCCCCCTCCGTGCGGATATCTAATTCTGCACATTGGGGGCACTTGGGGGGTAGGGAGATTTTCCTGCACATTGGGGGCAATCCCGAGATGTGCAAGAAAATCTAAAAACTGTAAAAAAATATATAGGGGGGATATTTAAACCCCCCAAAACGTAGAAAAGCGTTCACTGTGCATGCGCAGGAAGCGCACTGGAAACAGTGCCTCGCAGCCATTGCAGGGGGGGGGGGCTTGGCAGGCTATCGCTGCTGGGGGGGGGGGGGGTTTGTCTGCAAGGATTT